TTTTAACCAATTCAATTTTTAATTGTCTTAAAACTTCTTCTTAACAAGCCGTTTATTGTCCTGTATTCTTTGAGAAAATTGATCAAGATAAATCTTCTAGAATATTAACAGTCACCACAACCTTCTAAGTAAACCTCTCTGCTTTGACTTTCAGTGGCCCAGAAAATTCTCTCAGAAGCTACTATTTTGATTGGATTTTTTTTTTTTTTAATTGAAGGCACTCCAACAAGGCTGTTGTTGTTGTTAAGTGCCGTCGAGCCAGTTCTGACCCATACTGACCCTGCATAGAGTTTCTGAGGAGCAGCTGGTGAGCTTGAACCACCGACCTTGCAGTTCAAACAGCTTTGCAGTCTGGCGCATTAACCCACAGCACCATACCAGGACTCCGACTAAGGTAAGTTTATTTTTAAGTGAACTTATCTGCAGTCATCACAGAGATATGCTTAAACGAGTTTTGTTTGTCATAAACCCGTGCATGTATGAACTGGAACTCTAGCAGCAATAATTTTTGACGTACCTTTGTGTGTGTATGTATGTGTGTATATCCTTTCTCCAACTAGGAATGTCTGCTTAATTACGTGGCTGTCATAAAACATTTCATATGTCTTATAAAATATTCAGGGATAATTTATGGCCATTTCAAGCTCACGGCTGCCAATCACACAGAGGAGATAATTCTCATAGTGTTCTGTAGATGACCATGAAGGGTATGGGGCTGAGGAGTGGGTAGCTCACCCACTCATTTGTACTGCAATAAATCAATTCTGTTGGCGGTGGTTTCCAAATTTACACTAGAATAGATTTGCTTTCTAATCTGCCATTTTCAAAACAACAACGCCCTAATGCACTGAACTGTAGTGGAGAGAATGATTTAAACATACAGTCTAACTGAAACATGTGATTGCTATAATTTATCACATTAATATCGATGCCATTATAAACACTGAAAACACTCTAAACCATGCTGAAACAAAACAACTTTCCCCCTCATATAGGAAATGATGTAAAGCCTACTATACAGTTTACACATCTGTTTAAATATACCCAGAATAATATTTTAATTAATAAACAGTCCCCATTTAAAGATCTTCCTCTGTATTTCAGCAATTAAAAAAATTTCTGTGATTATGGAGATATGATAGTGGTGGTTGTGTGTCACTGAGATAGTTCCTACTCATAGTGACCTTGTACAGTGGTTCTGAGGCTGTCAATCTTTTCAGGAGCAGAAAGCCTCATATTTTTCCCATGGTGCAACTGGTAGATTTGAACTACTGACCTTGCAATTAGCAGCCCAATACGTAATCCAGTATGCTACCAGTCTCCTTTATGGAGACTGCTAAATCTACCAGTAGCTCTTCTTGGCCCAGATACATGAATCCCAAGCTGTTTTTTACACTTACCTGCAGCATATCTTCCATACCAAGTCTCTCGTAGAGGTGGTAGCTGCCCTCCTAAAGGTTTAGTTGGGTCCTGAAGTCTCGCAAAGGAATGTGAACTCTTTTCTTCCAGATTCTGATCAAATGCAAAGTCCACAGAGCAAGTTGAGGGAGCTTCTTGCCTTTTGTTCTGTAAGGGTGCTACTCTTGTCACCCTAGGGTGAGTCTTAGAGTGGCTCAGGCCCATCTCACCTTAAAAACATTCAAGGAAAACCATGGTGGAAATGGGTTTAGAGTCTTTCATGTAGCTGGTTTTATTCAAGAAATTTTTCTCTTTATAATGTCCCAGCTTTAGAAAACAGCCACTTCTTTCCTGACATCTTTCTAGCTCTAGTTTTCCATGTACTAACCCCTCTGGCTACTTCCTGGGAGGTTTGTTTCCATGGATACTTCCCTTCAACACCTACTTGGCCATTCCAGACCCAAAGAATCCAGTTAAACATTAACTTGGTTATGCTACTTTCTGAGCTTCAGTGACAGGAAATAAAAACTGTTGATCATTAAACAAATCCTTAGCACCGGAGATGTTGAGCAGAGGGTTAGAGAAGTTTTAAACTTGACGCTTTCATTGCATGGACCTCTAAACATCACTCGTAAGAACCATCAACTGAGAATGCTATGTCACTTTTGATGCATGATAATCATTAAGGGCTTCATTAATCTTTCATTTTAAAGAATTCATCTTCCAAATAGGGACACAAGAAGCAAAGTAGCTAAAGATTTAATCACTAGATTTTGCTCTCAATTACTTGAATTGCTTTAAACTCACTGATCCACTGCCATTGAGTTCATTCAAACTCATAGAGTCCCTAAAGGGCAGTGTAGAACTGCTCCGTAGGTCTTCCAAGACTATAGTCTTTATAGGAGCAGATAGCCTCAGCTTTCTCCTGTGGAGCATCTGGGGTTTTAAACTACCTACCTTGTGGCCAAGTGGCAGCATTGATGGACTCAAGCGTAGCAACAGTAGTAAGGTTGGCCCACAATCAGGCAGTGTTTGTTCTGCTACGTATAAGGTCGCTATGGGTCGGTACCAACTTGATGGCACCTAACAACAACACCTTGCGATTAGCAGTCCAATGTTTATCCCACTGCATCACCAGACCTCCATTAAATTGCCTTGTTGTTACTAAGTTCCCTTAAGGTGGTTCCAATTCTTAGCGATGTGTACAGTTTCTAAGAAGTGGTTGCTGGGTTTGAAACCTCTGACCTTCAGTTAGCAGTCCAGTGTTTATCCTACAGTGCCATATGCGTTGCAGGAGGGCAGAAAGACAATAGAATCTGCCCCTCCCTCCCCCGGGTGTGTGTGGCAAAGTTCTTGAATATATGGTCCAAATAAATACAGCAAAAAAGACGGAAAGGGAATGTGCTGAAATGCTGAGTGGTGGTTTTTTTTTTATATGGTGGGATTATGTGTGAACATTATTTTATTATTTATCCTCAAAAAAAGAAATCATTTTCAAGTTCTAATTGTTCATGACCATAGATTACTTTGGAGTTTTTAAAAATTATCATATTCCCTTAGAGAAGCACACAGAGATTTATTCTCTATTTTTAAAAAATTCAATCACTAAGGAGTTAAAATGTTGTTGTTAAGTGCCTTTTAGTTGATTGCAATTCATAGTGACTCTGAATAGGATTTCTGAGAAGTGGCTGGTGGATTTGAACTGCCACCTTGTTGTTCAAATCAACCTTGTGGCCCAGTGCTTATCCTACAGTGCCACACCAGAACATAGTCTTTAAGAAATGAGTCCATCTAAAAAAATATATCTGAATTTAATTTCATAATGCTTATTCCCTGTTCATTTTGCTTACAATTTTCTCCATGGCAAAGTGACTTGGAATAGAATAATCAATCTTATATTAATAGTAGCTGCAAACAAAATTACCTTTGTAAACTAGAGACTACTTTAATTATAAAGATAGAAGTCATTGAACAATACCTAGTCTGATTTCTTTTCAGATACATTCAGTTTAAGTATTTTTTAAGGGCAGGAGAATATATTATGAACTAACAAATGACCTGGAAATTGAATGAACTTTATGGATCTGGACTAATAGGAAGAATTTTGCTCTCCTTTTTTTTTTGCTTTGTTGTTATTTAATGTAGAGAGACTGTATCTGTGGAGAATATGAGGAAGTTGGTTAGTTAATGGGAGAAATCATTAAAGAAATGAAGCTGGGTTTATTTCTCTGTTTATTACCAGCCACTTGCAAGCTGTGCAACTCTGTGGCAGATTACTTAACTATTCCCTGTCTCAATTTCTTCATCTGCAAAATGGAGTTAACATTATTTTCTGAGGAATAAATCAATTGTACATAGCTCTTAAAGTAATATTTTGGCTTGTAGCAAATTCACAGTAAGCATTAGCCAGTGTTCTCCTTCTCTTGAAGAAGTATTGTTATATGTCTATATGAATACAGAGTGGTTCTGTTTTTTAAGTTTTTACTAATAACAGAGTGATAGTTTACATGGGAGA